TGTTCTCACAACCACCTGCTTTAGATAAACAGCGCACTGTCACTGTATGAAGCACGCTAGTAATTCGTAGGTATAAAAATAGGACCCCAAATAACATTACATACGAGCTTCAGTACCTTATGGAAAGTGTTGGGCAAAGAATATGGAAAAGCGTATGTAGGTCAATTTGACTTTAACACGTGAAGTAGTGGTTCAGAAAAAGAAAGGTCTTTACACGGTTTGTGTCCTTGTTGGAAAAGATGTAACTTTGAACCATCAAAGAGCCATCTCACTGCTTGGGGCGGAATCCGCCCCTAAGAACGTGGTTGTGCCACGCCCAATTTTTTACACTTTGTATACATAAACAAACACGTCTCACCATTACAAATGTGAAGTTTGAACTCAATCAAATGTGTGTATTTTGTTATGGTCATTAAAGTTCACGGCTACATCTGTGCCATTACTCCTGTATTGAGCACCGCAGTGGAAAAATGTATATTCCTAGCTGACCCGTCGTGGGAAAATGCACGCTACGCGAGAACGGTATATTCGACTGCAACGAGTTACTCTAAAAGCTCCTAAGGCCTCAGCTCCTCAACAAATTCACTACGGCGTTATAGGAAAACCAGTTAGAGGCGGATTCTGCCCCAGTTCTTTTAGGGATGGAAGGTTATGCATCTTCTTGCCAAATTCGTCACCCTAAAAGCTCATGTTTGCAGTAATACACAAGACTTCAGCCTCGTGTATTAATTAGGTGGTTGTTTCACATTAAAGGAAACTTTGTTACTTCACGTTGCCCTTTGGCTGAAAAGGCGTTATTTAATAATGGCAAAGGGCAGGGGATCAGATGGATCCCGGCACTTCGGCACTTCCAGTGTCGCACGTGCGTTAACAAGAACATCAAAATGATATATCTCCAATTTCTTTTTTGTCTTCAAAACGCCAGTTGTGGGTCAGGCCTTATTAAAAGAATACCGACATGAACTCGTTAGACACACACATTGGTGTTGAGAACAAATGTCCCAGTGCCAAGGATAGTTTCAAACTGTTTTCCTCGAGAACATTTCGTTTCCGTTCAGAGATGCAATGACATATTCAAGGCAGAAAAGAGGGTAAGGAGGCAAAAGAAGAAAAAAGAAAAAAAAAGAACGTCCTAAATTTCGATATGAAAGCACACCCCAACCTTCATGCGCAGAATAAACATTAGATTATTCAAATTACTACTCTTTTTCTTTCGTCCGTCATTTTAGAAGACAAAGGGGCCCAACACATGCTCATGCAGTACTTTCTTTCAACTTTGCAGAAACAAGCAAATGCTGCTCTCTTCTTCGAAGACACAAACTACTCACTATGGACATTAAATGAGAAGCTCCGTGATGCATGGCAATTGGCATTGTTGGTGACCTCACAGGTAATGGTGTGAACTCCAGCCCCAAAGGCCACACCTCCGCTGAGGGGGACTGACGTTGAACCTTCTAAACAAATGATTGGTTGTCCATCGGTGTTCACACCAGATACCGAGGCCCAGTTCACTGTTGCAGAGGTCAGTCCAGAAGAGGTGCATAGATCTCTCACTGCTGGCACTGTCAGGTACGGCGATGCTGANAGACTTTGAGGAAGGGTTGGTCAAACTTGCAAGTGATCAATCATAGTCTTGATGGAAATGTCTGCATCACCAACCAGGAGACCACTGGTCAACAGCCCAACACTCAAGTCTACACAGTAGCCATATGGGTGAGTTGCTGTCCTTAGTAATCTACCTGTGTGTAACTTCATTTTTAAATTTATTTTGATTACTTAGTATCATAGACTGTATTACTTCTGATGCTGATGGACTTCTATTGTTAGCTTGTTTTTATGATCAATCACAATCATGGCATTCACCTGAAGTTATTTTACACTGAGTGTACTCGTTTCTCCATTTGTTCTGATTACCCCCTTGTTTGGCACATTGGATTCAACAATGTCCTAGTTTGTAATTCAGGATGATGTTTGTACACCTTGTTCTATTATATAGCTCAAGTGGCATCCGTGTTGAATTGTGTTGAGGCAGATGTAGCCAGTAGTAGGAGAGAAGCCAAGTTAGCATATCCAGGTTAGCTCTGGAATTATATTGTTTATTCATGTTCCAAGCAGTTTCAGTTTCGCACTCTGACTTTTGGAACTGTTTTTACATGATTTTGTATGCCAGATTGGAAAGTTAGTATATGCTCACCAACGCAGATTAAGAGGTTCTACTTGTACGCTAAGTCATTTTATAATGTATTGTGTGAAAACTACCCAAAGAAATTGTTGTGTAATTGGTCGCATTCCTTCAGTGGTCCAAACGGTTTAACAGCTGTGTTTTGGTTATGACAAAAACTCAAGGCTATACACTCCAACCACTGTGTATGACCCATGACTTTTTACTACCAGTGTATTTGCACCATGCAGGTTGTGTGTAGTAAGTGTTGTATTACCTACTGTACATGTAAGTAGTTGTGTTATTTCCTAATAATAAAGGAGTCCGTCCGTCCGTCGGTCTGTCGACCCATGTACCATCCAATCAGTCTGTTAACCCCATTTATTGAGGAGAGCTTCAATAAAGATTTCGTCAGTTGAAGAGTAAACAACAGAGACAGTGTCGTCGTCCGTTAATCGCGGTCGTATCAGTGAGAACCTTGCGCTTGCGGCGCAGAAACCTATCCGGCAGCCCGGCCGGATAATACGACATACATAAACAAAAGTCTCACCATTACAAATGTGAAGTTTGAACTCAATCAAACGTGTGTATTTTGTTATGGTCATTAAAGTTCACGGCTACATCTGTGCCATTACTCGTGTATTGAGCACCGCAGTGGAAAAATATGTATTCCTAGCTGACCCGTCGTGGGAAAATGCACGCAACGCGAGAACGGTATATTCGACTATTGGAAAAATGGTGTCCAAATGACTGCAACGAGTTACTCTAAAAGCTCCTAAAGCCTAAGCTCCTCAACAAATTCACTACGGCGTTAGAAACAGTTAGAGTCGGATTCTGCCTCGGCTCTTTTAGGGATGAAAGGTTATGCATCTTCTTGCCAAATTCGTCACCCTGAAAGCTCATGTTTGCAGTAATACACAAGACTTCAGCCTCGTGTATTAATTAGGTATTTGTTTCACATTAAAGGCAACCTTGTTACTTCACGTTGTCCTTTGGCTGAAAAGGCGTTATTTCATAATGGCAAAGGGCAGGGATCAGATGGATCCCGGCACTTCGGCACTTCCAGTGTCGCGCGTGCGTTAACAAGAACAACATCAAAATGATATATCTCCAATTTCTAGTTTGTCTTCAAGACGCGAGTTGTGGGTCAGGCCTTATTAAAAGAATACCGACATGAACTCGTTAGACACACACATTGATGTTGAGAACAAATGCCCCAGTGCCAAGGATAGTTTCAATCGGTTTTCCTCGAGAACATTTCGTTTCCGTTCAGAGATGCAATGACATATTCAAGACTTTGTAGAAACAAGCAAATGATGCTCTCTTCTCCGAAACACAAACTACTCACTGTGGACATTAAATGAGAAGCTCCTTGATGCAAGGCAATTGGCATTGTTGGTGACCTCACAGGTAATGGTGTGAACTCCAGCCCCAAATGCCACACCTCCGCCGAGGGGGACTGAAGATAAACCTGGAGTTGAACAAACGATTGGTTGTCCATCGGTGTTCTCACCAGATACCGAGGCCCAGTTCACTGTTGCAGAGGTCAATCCAGAAGTTGTGCATTGATCTCTCACTGCCGGCACTGTCAGGTACGGCGATGCTGACAAAAATTTAAAATCAGAAACATCAAAAGGTAAAGGTAGCTGCAGAGGAGCTTATCCAAATATGAGGCACAAAGAAAACTCTGTCATTGGGGAGTTTCTAAATTTAAAATACCAGCATTTTAATCCTAAAAGAGCTGGGGGTTGGGCAGTCTCAAATCCGGGAGCGGATTTTTCCCCATAAGAACTCAGCTGCCCAAAAGCCATATTTTTTAAATCAAGTTTGGCATGCTTATGAAGAAGCCAATTAACGGTATCAAATGTTAATTTAACTGATGGTTTTGCTGTAACAGTCGGCTGAGGTTTAGGGCCACGTGAGTGTCATCCCAATGCGCCATGAGCGCACCAGTAGAAACAGTGCTCATTTGTGGCTGACATGTCTTGAAAAAATGGATGCTGCACATGAACGATATGACCATGTTCACAAATCTGGTGTTAAAATGACAGCAAGACTTAGAAAAACTCCAAGAGAATCGACAGGAGAAAAAAATGTGACAATATTGGAATAAATGTTTAGTGGGACCGATTATGCTGTTAGGATCTTTTAGAGGATTCATACAACACCGTTTGCAACAAACATCAGAAATGGTAACAAAACATTAAAACGACGGAGATAAACAAGCCTTACCCACGACATTAAATGTGAAGCTTTTCTCTGAGGTGCATCCATCATTGTTGGTAACTGAGCAGGTGATGGTGTGAGATCCAACCCCAAAGGATCCCCCGTTGAGAAACACTTGCCTGTTTCCCTCCAAACACAGAATGGGTTGACCGTTGGTGTTGGTAGCAGTTACTCTATCCCACGTGACTGTATATGAATTATATATCTGTCCCGCTGGGGTACAGTGACCAAAATCTTCCGGTACGTTGATTGATGGTGATGCTTTTGGGATGAGAAAAAAATATTGAGTGAATACCATCAACCTTAATTGGTTTTTTCTGCTCTGTTCTAGTTTCTGAAACAAAAAGATGATTGAGATGCCTTGATAGAAAAGGCTAAAGTTACGGTGACAGCAGCTTCCAAGAAATGAAGGTTTTAAATTTTTCAGTTAGCAAATGCTAAAAGTCATAAATTTGTCACAGAAACAGAAATAAGAGACCAGTTTCAGCCTCTGGAAAAGGGATTTTAAACCTGTCCAAAGAGTTGCCAAATAGGTCGAAAAGGCTGAGTTTTTGAAAACGGACACATTTCTTACCGAGAACATTAAATGTGAAGCCTTTCATAACAGGACAATTGCCACTGTTGTTGACCTGGCAGTTCACGGTGTGGGCTCCCAAACCGAAAGCTACGCCTCCGTCAAGAGGCACAAACAGTGAAGCTTCCATACATTGGACAACTTCTCCGCCTGTGTTCAGGCCAGATACTGCATTCCAGCTTACTGTGGCAGTAGCTGATCCGGGAACAGTGCATTGATCATTCACTTGTGGCACTGTCAGGTAAGGTAATGCTAACCAGAATAAAATAAAAATATAATAATTAACCCTCCAACCAAGTCCGTTACAGCCAGAAGAAAACCTAGAAGCCCGTAAAGCCCTAACTTTGAATTAAACTTTAAAATGATATGGACCAGCATGGACACACAATACACACGTACTGATATCTCTTCAACAGTGGCGTAAAA